GGACCCCTCGCGCTCCGTAGGGACATATCCGCGAGTGCGTGCAACGCACACACTCCCACACGCGCCGCCGCCGTGCCAGGCGTGTATAGGCCGGGTTACGGTCCCGGCCGGACACCTCTCCGGTGTATGACGTCAGTCAGGCCGCGGGGCCCGACGGGATTACAGGCAAGATCAAAAGGCGCCGCCGCCGCCGCCGTCGACGAGCTCTCTCGGTGCGAGGCGCGCGAGCACTGCGGATAATCCTAGCATGAATTTCGGATAAATTGGATGAACTCGGGGAAACTAAAGTCGATGATTGGCAAAATGTCACATGCGATAATTAGTCGGGAAAAATTAAAGAATGCAGACATATATATATATATATATAGGCAAAGAAAAACGATTAAACATAATTAATAGAAATAAGTAGAAGATTTCAGAGGTCTTAATAGGCTCTGAGAAAAAAAAAAAATAAGAAAGAAAATCATTTTCTTAATAGCTTTTGTAGGTGCTATGTGTGGCAAGAAAAGAGAAACATGAAAGAAAACATGAGAAAGATATGTAATTAAAAACAGCTAACGACGCAATCTATCGATTTTCTTCATTGGTATCCGTTCGAGATTGTACAGCATTACATGTTAAGGAATTCGTACGGTAATACACGGGAATGTCAGGAATGTTGGGCTACCATTCGCGTCGCACGTGTAACGTCTTTCACATATGATGCATACGCCGGCGAACCGCGTCGACCGTTGCACTCGCGCGCGCGGGACGCACTTTTACAAATCCCGGTGATCGTAACTCGAGTCACGGAATTGAAAGTTGAATATACCACCGCGTGCGGGCGAGCCCTTTACTCGCGTTTTTGTTCCCTATCCGCCGATGAATATTGTTCGACGCGTTCTTGCGAAACGCGCCGCCGCTGGTCGTGCGTTCGCACATGATTTCTCACCGCATTTTGCACCATTAGTCTCGGTATCGATTGCAAAAACCTACGTAGTTATTTTTTTCGATCGAAGAAATCGAAAAGCGATTCATATATCTCCGTGGGATTTATGAACGACGAATCCCTTTGAGGTTCAAAAATGAATATATAATATATATATGAATATAGAATATATAATAAGGAGAAGCAAAAAATGGACACTTGAATTATAAAATATAATATAAAGAGAAATATATATATATATATATTTTTCATTTTTCTCTCCTTTTCTTGGAATGCACACCAAGTTTGGTTGTATAAAAAGACGACTATCTCAAGAAGACAATTTAATCCAAGAAGCAGCCAGTGAGTGATTTATGCGTCCTCACGTAATTTATTATAGCGATCGTGGCAGTAATTTTCGCGAGAGTCCTTGCTGAAGGACCACCCTGTTGGAACGAATGTGGGGAGGAGACGCGTGTTAAAGGAATGATGGAAAAAATAATTTCCAGCATGAATTATTGATAACGGGCGATTGATTGTCAGCGATTAGACTTAATGTCCACGATCCGCGCGATGTGACGCGATGAAAGGCCCACCCCTCCGTCTGATTTGAATTCGTCCGACGAAGCGTCGCGCATCGTTAATATTTACCTGCGAGGCAGCGCCTCCGTCGTCGACCTCCAATCAAGGATGCTCTTAGACACGAAGGAACACTACAGAATTTCCAAATAATTGACCGGCGTACGTCGCCGGGCGTTTCATTACCCCGAAGGTATCGGGGACCGCGACGCAGGCCTCAATTAAACCTTTTTCTCCGGTATCGGGCCTGATAAATTATTACGTGCGAAGAGCCGACGCACCGTATTTTGTGGCCGCGACATTCGCGGTTTACGCGCGAGCCGTGCAATTACGCTCTTTACGAGATTTTTCTTTATGGTAATCTCCATCCCCTCGTCGCGCTCGCTTATCGCTCTTAAGCAATAATAATAACGTTATCCCGGGTATTAATTGAATCTTATTAAGGAGATGCGCGATCACTCCAATTTCATGTGATGAAGCGCGTGATGGAACGATTTGCAGGAATTATAAGATGTGATCGCTGAATTTGTTATTCAAGGCATTTAGCTCTAAGTGTAATCATCATCCAATTACGACACAATTTCAAAGCTATTCCAGTTGCGCGTCCTTTTATCTTGATTATCGGTGAACGGATCGATAATTTTTCGAGCAAAAGGGAAAAATCTTTCAAAAATATATGTTTCGTAATAAATCAATTTTATACATTGCTAAAATTGCAAGAAAAATTTTGCATATATATGAATATAATATATGTGTGTGTAATTGAAAAAAATTCAAAAAACATTACTAGCACTTTATTAGGATATTATTATATATTATTAATACAAAAATTATTAATTAATACTTAGATATTACATAAAATCGAGGTATCTGTAATTTTATTGTAAACAGGCACCAAATTAAATGTCGATAAATAAATCGCGAAACGACGCGAGCCCGGAGAATTCTAAGAGCGAGGGTTAATTTCTCAGGCAGACCCGGACCGAGACGATCCGCGTTTGTTTCGTCAATTACGCAATCTGCCGCGATACGGCTGTGGCGATCGTCACTATAGGCGGGACCCCTCGATGGGTGGAAGATGAGAGCGGAAGGTACACGCGCGTACCTGAGTGGGAGTAACCCGCATGTACGAAAGGGATGCATGTACTTAACGTGCGGTGTGAGTTCCAAGTCGCGCCAGGGCTTCAATCAACGTGCCGTCGCCCGGGGCTCATCCGATATCAGACATTAGGTACCCACGGGTACCGTACCTTTCCTCGGGACTCTCTTCCACGTTCCGACGCCCACTACCCGCGGACTTGTGTATCGAACTTTATTCGAGAATTACCGTCTTCTCTCTCCCTTTCCCACCCCCTCTCCTTCTCTCCCTTATTCCGCATGCTCCGGAACGATGGATAAACAATTGTGATTTAAAGGCATACGTGAGAGAAAACCATCCCCCAATAGATCCATCGCCATTTGGAGAGTATTGTTATTGTCATTATTAGATCTCTCTCTTTCTCTCTCTCACGTATTATATATATATATATAAAAATAAGCAGAGTAAAATTAAATATTAAGTCCTAAAAGTTAAATTACGAGACTGATAAGGGGGTTTGAAAAGCAATATAAGCAGATCAATGTATATATGTATATATGCACAGGCATTTACTTATGCGCGAAATATATTATATATTTTTTTTTAGCATTGAATAAATAAATGATCGTAAATTGTATTGATAAGAGTTGTGTCATATTTTGTTTTCTATATAATTACTTTATAAAATTAAAATGTCAATCTTTAATTAAATACATAAGAACCGTAGCAACACGTTCGTTTACCCCTTGAAATTTTATACGCACTGTTCCATAACTCATAAATTACACAATGCGGAACGACATACGGGCTCCTGTGTGCGCGATTACTTATGCACAATTTCTCTCTCTTTTCCAGACCTCTAAATCATTCTAGTCGACGATACCCGCCACGCGTTTATATTGCGAAACGCCGACTTCTACACAGATTAGTCTTCATACATCCGGATTACGTAATGACGTAAAGTTTTTTTTGCAGGTGATAAGTTTTCAGGTTGAATTAATCGATCGATCCGGTCACGGATCGGACAGTTACGGCATTTATAGAGATGAAAGTCGCGCTATTGAAAGTTACACCGGCGGGCAACGAATAATTCAGTCAAAGCGCACATCGTAAAACCATTAACATCGGTTGTAAAATATCCACGGCACCGTTGCGGAGACGCCGGCAGGCGTCGTGCGTCGCTTGTGAAATTCGCGCTGACATTAATTGCGAGATTCTCTATGAGGAAGAGTTTCTGAGAATAGCGGAAGTAATGCCACTTTTCTTTTCTTCCTACAGTTAGATACTAATGAAATTAATTTTTGAAGAAAGAATTACTTTCTGAAAAGCTTGATTATATTAAAAATAGATATACGAGTTGTCAAATTATATCCTTAAATAAGACAACCGTACATATATTTGAGAGATTTATATTATTTATGGAACTTAACGCGTATCTGATTATCCCATAATTAATATACAACAATATTTATTTCTCGTAAAAAGTCTCGTAAAAGAGATTATATATATAATACACACATCTCTCACTAATTTTTATGTAAAAGTGAAGAAATTATGAAGCCGTTTCAAAGGCAGAAAATATATTCTGACATTTAATTTGTAAATAAATTCAAAGGAAATTATTTGTTAACCAATTAAAACAAATTATTTGAATTACTTATCTTTATACAATTGTTAGACAATTATTAATATAATACTCGCGTGGACAGTTGCACTGAGAAGAATTAATTTAGTACATTTATTATATTATTAAATCAGCAAATTATTCAGAATCCCCAAATGTTTAAAATTGCGTTGAGTAAATATTTCCCTTAAATAATTTAAAAATTATTTAAACATTTTTTATACAATCTTTGAACTTGTGTATTGATTAATATGGATATACATAAGATTTCAAATTAGTATCGAATAACTTTATAATTATCACAATTCTTACCTTGAAAGGGATATCCAGTGAAGTAGGGTGCCATGTTGAGAGTGCTGACTGCCATCTAGCCGTTCCTGTTTCCAGGAGAAATCTCCCTCTCCCTCTCTCTCTTTCTTTCTTTCTGTGTTGTTCACCAGCACACCAAGGATCCTCACTTCCCTCGATTCCGAGTCCTGATTACACTCGATTCACAATCCGTATCCTCACTTTTTCGCGTGTCACAATCGATATGAGTGTCCCCAACGACAATAACGAACAGTGTCCAACAGCGGCACTCGAAGAGTTTCTATTGCAAACAGCCGAAACGAAGGGGGCTCGACACCCTTCTTATTTTTACTGCGACGCAAAACGGGACGGACCTGTTGGCTACGGGGTCTCGGCTCGAACTGCCGGTTCCTGCGGTTGCGATCGTCCAGAACACGCAAAGAAACGAAAGGCAGGCACGAAAGGAGGAAAGCCTCCGAGGAGGAAGGCTCCGCCTTCATCTTGGGGCCCCTTTTAAGAACGGCTAGTCGAGGGTCCCAGCCGTGCTCTTTCATGGCTTTATCGGTGCTGCTGCATTGGTCACCTGCCAGGTAATTTCGCCGCGGCGGAGGTGGTCGCACGTCCAACTCCGCCTTGTAAAACAGACTTTCCACCACCATCCCTCACGAGGAACGACGGTGTTTCGCGCCCGACTTACCCTCCCGGCGGCTGGCGAGATATCGATATCGCGCGATCGCAAGCTTCTCGCGGCCGATCCGCGCCGATTCCCTTTGCGGATTCGACATGGCCCGCGCGGTTTACGATCGGGAAAGAGATCAAGATTTCGTTCGAAGCCTGTTGCTCGGTTCGACGTTTTCATGGCTCACAAAAAACTGGATCGATCCATCCACAATCTGTGACTATGTGATATATAATCTCTAATTTATAAAATAATCTCTGATTTAATTTATAATATAATGATCTGATTTAATTTATAACATAATCTCTGATTTATAAAAAAATATATAAAAAATATAAATATAATTTTTCATAATTTTTTACTTTGTCATTATGATGTAAATATGAAAGATACGCAGAATCCAGTTTTATTAAGCAATTCTTTAAAATTTAAGATATAGAAATGTCATTGACTTTTTTCTTCCTGTCCATTATGTCATTGTCATTGCACATCGTCATTAAAACGTAGCGTTCGTGTATTACTTCTCTCAATAAATATTTTTAAAATGTTGTATAAGTGATTTCATTGATTTTTCTAATCTGAAAATTTTAAATACTATAAGTTAGCACGTATTATGATATTTTGCTGATTCAAATTTACATTTTCCGACAACTTTAATTTTCTATACAATAAAAAAAAACTGCTGTAACATATTTTAAATATAATTTTAAGTATAATTTTTCATTCCCCGTTTAATTAATAACGATTTTGATAGCAATATGCCGCGACGATACGATTTGACTTGAATGTACCATCGATTTTAATGGCATAAAAAAAATGGCGAATAAATCCCGATAAATTCACGATATCTAATCTCCCTTTGATTCACACGAATGCCGCGGCCGTCGACACTCTCGTCGTGAAATCCGCTCGACCGCCTCTATGCCGATCACGCATCGCGTGATCTCGCCAATGAGATCGTGCGAGGTTCAGAGAGACCCGCTGCTGCGAGCGCGTACACGCTCCCGCGGTCGCAATTCGGCGCGCATCGTTAATTAAAATTAATTACGTTTGTCGAGTAATCGTGCGTTTAATTGAATCGCGGGATTCCGCGGCGGTCGCCGGCTCAAGACTTCCGTCCGAGACGAAGGTGGAAAATGGAACGGCAGAATCGACACGCTCCTTTTCTCTCATGTCCTTAATCCTTTACGTATATATGGCGCACCGCGTATAATCGCGCGATCGCGCAACGATATCATTATCTCCGTTTAATTAATGTCGTAAATAAGCGTTCGCGCGTGTGAGAATGGAGAAGAAGCCGGGCGACGGGAAAGAAATTTCCTGCGCCGCAAAAAGAGAAACGTCGCACCGGCGTGTCCTAGAACGCATGCGGCGAGCCATTTCTTTCTTCCCTCTTGGGACATTAGACATTTCGGACAGGTTCCCCGCCGCGACGAAACCACCTCGTCTGATTCGCGTGTAATCACTTCGGACATCGACCGAAAAGCCGCGAAGACCCGCTCCGACGACCATCGCAATCTGACACAATGGACCTCAGAACCCGTGCGTTTCGTTAATATATGCATTATAAAGCCTGATGTGTATTGGCTGCAACGATTATTTTGTTTCATCGCGCAGAAGAAGTTTGATGCATCGAAAGCGTCTGATAAAGATGGCTTTAAACAAAATGAAGTTTTACGATAAGAGACACGAAATTTTCAACGGTTAAATAATTTTCTTCAATCTAGAATAATTAAAGCGTCGCGTCGTATTTTACAATAAGAACCTTCCATTTATTTGCGTATGAAATTACCATTTACAATGTCAATATTTATAACGAACGAAGGTATCTCGCGTTATGAAAGGCAATTTAATTTACCCGAGTCAAGACTCGCGCATTAATCGCCGCGTCAATCAACGTCGCGGGAATTTTTCCGCGAGGATCACGGGGGCTAATTAATTGCGGGCCCCGGGTCGACGCGCGATCTGCATTAATCAGCATCGAGCGCGCGTGAAGAAAGAGACGGAGAGCCCTTTTACGCGAAATTTATGCGCGTGCCCTCGACGCTCCGTAAGAAGAGTCACCCCGGATCGGACACGCTGTTGCGCCTTTGCCGCTTTGCCATCATTAGGCGGATAATGCATATCTTAATGATTACGAAACGAAACACTGACGCCAGAATGGATACGTGTAAGTACCGCCGATGAATGGCGTCCGACCGCTCCGGGACCACCGTTCGCCAACCGTCCGCCAGTCGTCCCACGCTCCCGCAATCAGCTCCCCATAAACTACAATCACGACACGTGCTATATCGCTCCGACCGGTGCATCACACCCTGCAAATAGATGATAGCCGCGTGGATTAAATGCTGCAGGATAGATCGGCGTTGTGCGCGCCCGTGTTCCGGGAATTTTCACGCTACCGCGCGATCCTCTCCGCGATAGCAAAAGATAGTCTAATTGCAAGGAATGATCGTTACTTTGGTGTCAGTAATGACGTTTAAGCGCGCGACGATTAATTGAAGATTAAGCCTTTCCAACGAATTAATTTTTAAAGAAATAAAATTTTAACGATATGTAAGATCCTTCTTCTCGGAAAATACTAAATGAAAATCTTTATTTGAATAAAAAAACTTATTGTCTTTAAAGTTGAATTATGATAAAGAATAAACTTTTATTACGCTTTATTATTTAATAATTTGCATTTTAAGAATTTTTTTAAGTAAGTAAATGTTTTCAAGTTTCAAGTAATTTTTAATTAATATTCATTATAATAAAGTGAAAAGATAATGTAATAAATAAACATAAAATTTTTAAATATCTAAATATAAATAAATATAAAATTTTTGCATTTAATATTATAAATTTGCATTAGAATAAACGGATGATTAATAATGTCGCGCGGAAACACGCAAAGTGCAAAGGATTAACATAACGTAAGTATTATACGAGCCATCATGTGTCGTTAATGCACTTCGAAGAAATCGTTTGTACTTTATGAATGTCATATGCACAATATTCTATTCTTAACGCTTAAATAACTCATTGTCTTATCCGACAATGTAAGAATCCGACTGCAAATTCAACCTTCACGCTTTGAAATTCGCTTTGCACCCGTCACGTGGGGTGCACAATCCGCCCGTTGTCTTCGAGCGCGCTAATCTCGGGAAAATACGAGCGTGCTCGCGAATATTATCGTACACGAAGTTAATTACCGCGTCGCTCCAACGCGACAGAGGCAGGGAAGAAAAAAAAAAGAGATAGAAATGGCGGATGGTCTCACGACGAATACGCGCATGGCGGAGGAGGAGATCGTAACGGTGTTATGTGCCATTAAAGACAGCAAACATCGTAGCTTTTATGCGCTGTGGAAAATCACGAGATTGTTCGGGGACATTAGCACCGAAGACCGCTGGATTCTAATAATCGTCGCTCCCACGGCGACACACGCTTGATTAGGGCATCCCGTCCATCGTCGCGCACAAGATTCGCAATCAAGATATTTTTAGTTCGCTTAATACACAATCGTCGCGAGTATAGGACCTGCAAATTGAAATTTAGAAATGACGTCGGCGATAAATATCACTATACCACCGAGATTATTCGAGCTGAAGATGAATTGTCAGCCACCGTCGGTGGCTAAGTTGAAAACGCGATTCGCTTGAGAGATATATCTGTCAAACGACCACGTCTCAATCATTCAAATCACTCTGGTGAACAATCGTTCACCACAAATGGTCTATAACTTTTACTCGCCTAAGTTTCCGGCCGAGCTTCGGAGGAGATCTGTATGATTTCCTACGAATCGCGCGCTACTCGAATGATCAATCGGTCTATCGGGATCGATCGTCGTCGCGAACAATCTCGAGCATCCACAATTCAAACGCTACGATAGGACGTGATCCCCCGATGTGAGGCAACCTTGTCTGCCTTACAGGAGCCTTGTCCCTCGGGCACGCGTCTCTCCATGCGATCTGGTCGATCAATGACGACGAGGTGTCAAAATCGTATAAAAACTGTTCCCTCGGGACAATCGGTGCACTTAATTGTTATCTCCTCGAGAGAGAAAAATTCTTTTACCTCCGGGGGCAATATCGTCTTTGTACTGAGAAGCTCCTTGGTTAGAATAAATTTATTTTTGAAAACGTATATTATACAAGCAAAATAAATCAAAACTATGTACTTTTATACTAGATAACTAGATAATATTTTAAGTAACCAAGATTTATGACGCTATTTAAATATCCATGCGATTTTCTTGTATATTATTACATTTGAGGCAGATAAATGACAAAAATCACATTTACTGAAAATGAGAGAATTAAAAGCTCATTCTTTGCAATAGCTATTGATATTTAATTAGAATTTTCTTAAAATATAACCTAATTTTTGTTCTCATTTTTTATTTGCTTTATTAAAAAAAAAAAAAAAACACTTATTACCTGCCCTAAGGATTCTCGATGTTTTTAAAACGCGACCTTAGAATCCTTCTCAAAGGATCATGAGGATTTTGGCGTTCCTATGGGATTCGTACTACGAACTCGTAAGAAGTAGGTTGTCAAAGATGAGTTTGGGGCGAAAATATTCCCCAAGGACAACAACGTGTTCCTAATTATTCGCCCATTCACATATTTGCGTGTAATCATCTCTTTTATCTCGACCACAGTCAGTTTGTGACTATTACTCACGCATTAATGTATTTTGACAGGGTTTTTAATATTACAATAGCGACAGTTTACCTCCTTGCGGGCATCAAAACATCTTTGATAACTTATTCAAACAAGACAATTTGTCGCAACAAGTTAGTGGGCATGATTGGTAGATTTATAAAGACGGAATAGCATGTCGTACAAACATTTATTTAATTTGTAAACGCAGGCTTCCAAGTTTTTGTAACAGTTAAATTTATCTTGTAAAGATCGATATTCTCTTTATATTAATATAAATTGATCGCAAGTTTTATCCACGCGATAGAAAATTGGGATTTTATGTTAAGCTATACATATATGTACATGTAAAGACTTGGATTGATAAAGTTTATAAAAAAACATATCTTTTCTTTTTTAAACATCCAAATTTAACGGTTAAGTTGCAAATATAAATTATGACAAGCGATTTAAAAAAATATGTAATATTTTACGATATATAAATCATTAAAATTAATATAACAGTAAATATATCTCTCAAAGTACATACATAAATATAGGATAATTACAAGATATATATTCAGTTTTATATTCCCGCGAAAGAAGTTCAAGCTTTCTAATGAAACGTGAATGCGAGTTTTTAACCTTATGTAATAATCGCCGCAAGTGTCATGTATTATTAATGTAATATAAGATTCTGCTGTTAATTATAGAGGAACTTTCCTCGCAAATTATACTCGTAAATCATTCTCTATAATATCTAGGTACAAGTGAATCGTGCTGTTTAGAATATCTAGAGTATCATCTAGAGCAGAGAGCGTTCGAAACCAGGTAGTCGTTGATGAGAAGTTGATAAATTCCTGATGCTCTGGTATAACATCGCGAAGGCGGACGTTACCAGTTTCAATCCTATGTACGATGTAAGACTGTAATGTATTAAGCTTTAAGTCATAGATCATCCGGCAATAGGCAGGCGAACATTGTTGCAAGACCTACACCAGGGCGTGAGACCAAGTTGATACTTGGTTGCTTGCGTTAATCGTAAATATGAATGAATGCAATCGAGAGATTTAATGTCAATTATTAAAACATTCTAATCATATAATGTAATTGTATAATAATGAACATCAAAGCCACAAGACGTCCTACTCTAACTTAAACTTTCCAAGGATCAAAAAGAATAATATTTTTTAATAAATATAAACGTAGAAAAATTAAAGATCGGAAAGATCAAATATTCCTTGCTATAATTAATCTTAAGTTATTTAAGAAATTTCAGAAGATCTAAAAAAGAATTTTGAGAATTTTGAAGAAATGAGGGATATGCGATTAAGTGAAGTCTTGTTTTCAGCGGCACAGCCGATCCGTGACAGATCGCTGATGTGCATCGATAAGTTAATATAATCCGCAGTTCTACGTATGCCCACGGCGAAAGGCGAGGAAATGTGTATATCTATATTCGCACGAAGCTACATCACTACCGGTACCACAAGGTGGCGGAGGGACCCGAAGCAGGATGCAAACCATTAAATAACATCTCGCGGGGTGATAGATGGGTCGCATGCCGATCGTTCTTGTTGGCAAAGCCCATTAAAGCGCGTGGGTCCGACTCGAGTCGGGGTTCGCATTTACACCTGAGCTTTGACTGCCACCACCACCATCATCATCACCACCACCGGGTACCAGCACACGAGGCCCGATAGGGACCGGGAACACCGACTTGACCAAGAAGGGGAACGGGAGATGGAGGAAGGAAAGGAGGAAGGGGATATCGGGGGAAAGCGAGAGGCTTGGGCCCCAGGACTTGGCCCACAGTTAATTGCCAGCATTTAATGAGCGTTCTTTGACGCGCCGCGCGAACCGCCACGATAAGAGTCGTAATGGCTGTAGCGCTTTCCTGACGACTTCACGTACATATCGTACGTACGCCTGATTGATGAAATAAAAATGGCCGCTGGGGGTATTATCGATTGCTATTGCAACGTATAACTCTCTCGTACCGACGAAAACCGTTTTGCGCGATTGAGATATTAGCGCGGTCAGCTTCGCGGAGGATGCGTTTTAACGGCGTTTGATATGTCTGATAAGATTGTCGTTTTGATAAGATTTCTTCAAAATTCCCCGGAAATTTTAATGAAAAAAATTTTTGTTACGAAATCGAGCGTAATGATTTTTTAAAATAAGAGTCAATACTTTCTTATTTTTTATATAATTTTATTATCTTCTATCGCGACTTATTAATAGAATCTAGAATTTGTTAAGTTCAACTTTATGTTTTTTAAGAAATTCAAGATAAAACAACTCGCAATTATTTTCACAATTTGTTATGTTGTATCTTACAAAAATACGTATAATAAATGAATGCACATATTAATTTGTTTTTTTTATACATAATTTTTAAAAGGACTTTGTGAAAAGAAAATAAATTATATTTAAGATAAAATATATTTAAGATAATGTGCGCATTTTCACTTATTCTCCGCGAATTCGCTCGCACAACAAAACGAAAACCGGAAAAGCCGTATTCCAATTTTTCTTTCGGTTAATGTCATTTATATCACCGAGTTGGCAGCGAGAAACCACTTAAATTGCAGTCGTCACAATAGCGTCGGCACAGTGGCAAAGCTTTATAAATATACCGCTATTTTTTTCATAACAATCGTCGGCAACCGACAAAAGTGTCGCCATTCTGATTTAGTGACCACAATAATGGTCAACGAAGAGCGTTTGTTGGCAAACCGTGTGTCCTTGTTGAAAGGGTCCGGTGCGACAGTCGTCAAATTCTTTATCTGCTCTAGAACCACCATAGTCTCCTCTACCTGTGCGGTCAACGCGTGGTTTCCTCCTAAAAAAAATTCATAGCGTTAAATACATTCAAAATCATTTATTTTTTATAACTACATAAAACGATAATATTTGTATAAAAATCTAATTTTTGTAAAATTGATAAAGGAAAGAAGTAGCTTTTTAGCTTTTAATAATTTATTTGGAATCAATTATGATCTTCTTGTGTTATAAAGCTATAATTAATTATATATATTATTAATAAAATAAAATTTTTAATATAAGCAATATATACATATATTTTATGCAAAAAGATTATGTTAAATTTCTAGAAAATTATATAATTATAGAGCTATACAACTTAAGATTGTAAAAAATTTCAGAAGTTTCTATATAAGTTAATTCTAATCACATATAAACAATTTACGTAATTAACAACAGTCGATATAATGACGCTTGTTGGTAAGCATAATGACAAAAATATAATAGAAAAAATGATTAACATATATAAAAATATAAGATAAATTTTATTATTTTTATATAAGAAAAAATTACTTTGCACTTCCATTTTGCAAAACTACAATAAAGGATAGCATCGATTCACGATAAGCACAGTTGAAAAGATATTATCTTGAGGGATACCAAGCAGTTCTTACCATGGAAATAATTCAATATGCAAACATTATCTTCTGAGAACAGTAAAAAAATTATATTGTTATAATTAATGTTAAGCAGAATTTTATATGGAAACATAAAATATGTTATATAAAATGTTAGAAAATAATTTGCGTTTATAAAATATAGAAGATATTAAAATATCTTTCATTTTCTTCTTTAAGTTGCCAGATATTTTCATAGATGGCGACAGAAATATTTTCCACATAACACTTCTTCTTCTTCTTCTCTGTGGCTGATTAGGCTTCTATATAGAATTTGCCTATACGCCAGTCGGTGCTTACATATAACAGATATTTAAACAAACAAAAAAAAAAAAAGAAAAAAAACCAGATTAATGTGTAGAGATTTCAACTGACTATGAAGAAATATGAGGATCTTTAATCATGCAATCAGAAACGCTAATTTTTTAGAAAAGTAGATAATTTTTATGAGATTCTTTCGCGATGATATATTTTCAAAGAGGCTAATTGATTAAAGAAAATTAATTAATACAATAAACTTTTAAACTACTATTCATATAAAAATAGTACTTTTCTCTTTTAATTTTTTCCTTTACGAAAAATATTTCTAACGAAATATTTAATGTGCGCATTTAACAAATTTATTAATAATATATAAATAGATGATGTATTTAAATATGAAGGTTTTATATAAGTCAGAAAGGTTTATCGATTTTGAAGCTTATCTATAAACAAATATATTTATTAGAAAGTTTATAATTTATTAATAAATCAGATGCAAACATTATCTTCTGAATTTAAATGTCTTATCAAAAATTGTTCAGGCCATACTTAATACAAAATATTGAATTCTTATTGCTATCACAGATTAATCACGCATGAAGTATACATTTGTTATTAACATCAAAATGTAAATTAATGTAAATAATTATACGGCAATATATTTTGCTAATATAATTATATATAAATAAAAAACTATATTTTAAAATTAATTATATATAACATTCTTCTTACATACATTAAAATAATAAAGATATATTTTAAATGACAAATTTATGGTATAACCGATGTGTAATAGATAACATAATTAGAATATAAAATATTAATTATAATAATTATTTTGTGTGTTTAATTCGTAGCAGATATATAATCTGTTGAGATATCGAGTATTTTTTTTATATATATATATAGTCATTTGTCTTTTAAAATATTCGAACAATAAAAAATTGCTTTAACATATATCACAATTCTATTTGTAAATAATAATGTGAATTTCTAAAAATATGTACTATCATCTACGATTTAAAGCCAAGTACCAAAGTAATATAAAAATTAACGTAAGAATACTAATATTACATACGTTATGATACCGATGATCCCTTTATCATTCTCTATTGGTATAGGCATGATATGTATATGTATTGCAACCAGCATTTAACGTAAAGGGAAATTCATCGAATAAATCTCTTGTGACTTATAATAAATATATACTTTTTAATATAAAAAATTATTAAAAGTAAAATTTAAAATAAAGAATTAAGATTTAAATGAGTTACTTTAAAGAGAGTGAAAATTTAACTTTGAATAGAAGTTTACTTTTCTCTTGTTATCTCTAATATTTTTTTCCCATTTTCTCTATTCTTCACAATAACTCCTAACTGCAAAATCTAAAAAATATCATATTACATTTTACTATGTAACATACACATCAGACCTCTCTACTTTTTAATTAAGCCTTAAATTAAAATATCGTTCAAATAATATAAACTTGCAATTAAGTAAATAATAAACATCTGTTATGTATTTTGTTTGCTTCTTCACTCTCAGTCATTTATAAGTCTTTAACATTTTTATCAAGAAGAAATCAACTTGGAGAACGTCAAAGTATATATAAATGAGATGAATAACGGGACGTTTTGAGACAGTCTCTGAATAGGGAATGCATCTCATCGACGGCTTATTACAAAGTGTGCTCGAGCGCTACCACGGTCGCCACATCGGGTCGCGTTCGTCCACGCGTTCGACGTCGATTTCTTCATCGTCATCGGCGTTAATGTCTTGCGGGTCATTCGTTTTGTTCCTCATCATCGTCGTCGTTGTCGCCGTCGCCGCTGATCGCCGATCCCTCAGACTCTTCGGCTTGTCGCTGCAATTTACTGTTAATTTCTCGTCGCCGTCAACGAGCGACATCGTGGCTCGACATCGAGGCGTGGAAGAAGAAACGGTTGTCGTCGACGCGCTCGCGTCGCCGATCTCGTCGACAGTCTTATCGGCGCGGACCACGGATTTGATCTCCGGCGACACGCTTGCGGAAGGTATCGCCGAGTCAATTTCGCCGGAGGTGGCGACGGGACAAGGTGCCACGATGTTGGCGATGCGATCCAGATTGACCAGGGTAGGCGATAACAGATTGGCTTTCGGCTGAGGAGAACACGTTTTTTGGCGTCATTACGGCGGTCGTTAACACTTCGCGATTATAAATCTCTGCGACTCGCGCTATTCCCGCGGCGATAATATCTTTTTCGTTACTTTTGGGCATAGTTCCGTGAGAATTGAGAAAAATACAAAACATGATTTTATTTATCTTTTTTAATATAATATATCATGCAACATTTCTTTGTTCCTTTAGACAGAATCATGAAGATTTGCAAAGTCATATATATAAATATAAGAAAAAAAGTCATATAAGAAAAGCGATAATAAAAATGCGGAAATAATAGAGATCATAATAATAGCGCGAAACATATTCATAATCGATTAGAGAAAGCTTACAAATAATAATTAATAAATGTTAATTATAACAATCATTACTGCATGCATAATTTCACTTTTTTCAATCTTCAGTCGCAGCAACAAAGTACAATTACGATAATTGCGATAAATTACACGTTGCGACTCTTTCTCATAAGTCTATGCAACAACATAAATTCAACGCATATAAAGCGGCTTATTCAAGACTTATATCCCCAGTAATGACAATTAGCACCGGACCGTATGTTAAATTACGTGGCATCACTTTGTTCGTGAAAATTCATGCCTCGATTAAGAGTTTCACGCGCGAGCGAGCGAACGATAGTGGCATATCCTCTCGCGAATTTAGGAGACGTAATCGGCGGAAGATATATCTGCCCGCTCCCAAAACTTTCGCCTCATTAACCGACCCCCCGACCTCCTCCCTTCTTCTTTTCCCTCCTCCACCCTCCGCTCTCTCCACGAATTATATCGTGCTAATTACAGATCGAACCGATAATTACCGATGAATTCGTTTGCCGGCTTTGAAGGCCAGCTGCGAGGTGCCTCGCCAGCCTCTCCGCGGCTTCACCTGGAAGCGACGAGAGAAATCTGCAGGCTTCCGCCGCGCAATGCCCAAAGCCGGATTGCCAGCGGCTCTCCGCGGAAATTTCGTCGCCGCTCGCAATCGTCGCCGATAATCCGGCGGATCGCGAGGCCTGCAGCTTCTGCAGATGACGCACCGTCAACTCGAGGATGTCCGCCTTCTCCAGTTTGCTGATATTCTCGCCTTCGGTCTGCAAACCATTGCGTTGTCAGATTTATCGATTAGTTTCATACTTCATTTATGAAATATGCATTTTAAAACATTTTTGTAATTTTGATAAAAAGAAACAATTATTTGCCATCGATACAGAAAAGCAATATCAGGACAAAAGAATAAAAGATATAATTAATATTAATCGTGATAATTTCAGTAAGGTGACTAAAATTAGGTGTTGAGGATGCAAAATTAAATATAAAAAGTTTGATAATTCTATTAATCAATCCTTTTTAACTATTTTTTTAAATTATGAGAAATCTATAACCAGTGTTTGCTGTTATTTAGATGAAGTTATCTAGATAATTATTTAGATGAAACAATTGCATTATCTTATATTTATCTAGATAATAATGGGATGAATTATCTACATCTTTATCATAGATGGAAAAATGCATCATCTGCCTTAAATTATCTAAGTTGCGTCTATCAGAATTCAACCCTTAGTAAGGGCTTTATGATTCTTTAATGTTTGGTTTTTACATTTAGAAGCAACGGAGAACGAAAGGTAAGATTAATAATATCATATCAGATGGAAAACTATTTTATGAAAAAATCTATAAATATAATATATTATTATTTTAGTTGTTACATTTTTTCCTTAATTTTTTTTTTCTAAAACAATGTTATCTTGATATTATATAGATAAAATGCTTTATAATTTCATCTATCACCCAGATAAACTTGAAATAAATCATCTCTTATCTAAGATAAAATTTTGTCTTATCTTATCTTTATTTAGATAATTTCAATATTATCTAGCGCTGTCTATAACGCACACAATGTCGTTATACTTTGTCGACTTGTTGATTGTATAATTTCGCGCCTCTCTACGGAAGATAACGCTTCCGTTTCTCCTAGATTAGTTTCATCGACCGTCGGCGCAAAATATCGTGAAACGATTCCACGAAGGAGAACGTCGAGTTTTTCGGATTAGAAGAAATTGCTACTAAAGTGCTGTCGTTACTGGTTCGCGACGCTTACGGAGCACTTTATTTTATGTCACATCCGATTCAGGATGCTCATTAGAAAAAAGAACGAGCAATTCAGAATGCTCATTAAAAGGATATCGTAACCGCGACGACGCCTGACCATCGGAAGCTCGATGCTCCACGATCCGCGACATTTTGCGAGAAGAAGAAGAATAGCATCCGGCCGGGGAACATTAAGCCGTACGAAACGTGCCGATTGGACCGGGTAATGTGCCGTTGGAAAATTAGCATGGTGAAATCAACGGTGCCTTTCACGCTGATTCAGCGAATTACGTGTACAATGGCAACGATGGCCGACGCAGAAGTAAGTTTCACGCGCGATCGTTTCGTGCGGAAAGACGGTATCGACAAATTACCATCAATGGCGAAGCACATTGTAAAGGATACCACTTAAGATGTAATGTACAGGAAACGCATTATGACGTTCTTTTATGCGTTTGTGCGCCGATGTTTGAGGCAGAATTCTTTCTTAAAATCCAAGTCTCGCGTATTCTCACTTCGCATCTTTAACGGTAAATGTGACCGTTCAATTTGGAATTTTAATTTTAATATTAAATTCGCGTTTAATGCCAACGGGGATAGTGCTGTAAATCATACACAAAAATAGAAATAAATAAAAATTTTCATATATAAATTGCTTTAAATAAGTATAAATATTTTGTAAACAAAATTTTAAATTTTGTGATAAAGAGGACTCTTCTCTAAAGTGGCGCTAAATAATTCTTACTCTCGTTTATCCGGAAATTGCGTTCGATGTTATCAGAATCGTGGGCTGAGAATCGTGTGATGGCATTTAGCGTTAAACATGCAATGTAAAAATAACGAGCGGAAAGCGATGTTGGGACGCAATAAAAATTAAACGGTAATATTGAAAACATTTAAATTTCACCCACGTATCACTCAATAAAGCGTGTTACGCGGTCCGCATGACTACACACTGAATATCATTTTGTTGACACTCGTTCACCGGGTGTAGGTTCCCACGATATCTGAGAGAATATTTAAAAGCAAAATCGCCTGCACGCGTAGTTGCGGCCGGAGAATGTGTTTCCTGTTAGGCGCGATCCGTAAAATTGCAGCAGGGAGCGGTGACGCGCGAAGGGAGGCACTCGGTATCATAAATAGAGTCGGTGGAGTCGAGCAAGAAACGCGAGAGAAGGTTCGTGCGGGACGTGTGGGGAGAAAAAGCATAGCACGTGCTCGCTGAAGCAGGGCCATGTATCGATATCCGAGATTGTTGCCTTCCGAAATGCTTTTCCTGCCACTTCTCGCCGTTAAACAATAATTTATCTTGACCGCGAGAAAGATCGAACGGAAGATTGCGGAGCGAAAGTTAATTGCTACTTGCAAAAAAACTGCAAACATAATATGTATAGCTGCGTACTATCACATCTAAAAGTACGTCTTACGCATAACTCGCAGCACTATATTTTAAATGAAACATTTGTTCAAAGATGTTTGAGAATAAAAAGTTGCTATATATATATATATAAAATAACAATTGCATATCAATAATAATATGCAATAACAAAATAATATGCAAAATAAAATTTTAATTTATTACAGCTAGAAAATAATATAAATTAGAATAAAATTTTTTTTTTAGTTAATTTTAAAATAAATAAGATATATATATATATAT